AAATTCTCTGTTTAGTTCTGTACCCCATTTTTAATTGAATTATTTGAAATTTTGATGTTTAATTTCTTGAGTTCTTTATATATTTTGGAGATCAGTCTTCTATCTTATATGGGATTGGAAATTTATTTTCCCATCCAATAAGCAGCCTTATTGTGTTATTGACTGTGTCCTTTGCTTTGCAGAAGTTTCTCAGTTTCAGAAGGTCCAATTTATTTATTTTTCCTCTCAGACTCTGCGTTTCAGGTGTTATATTTAGGAAGTGGTCTTCTGTTCCATGCTTGTTAAGCTACTTTTCACTTTCTCTTCATATTTATCATTGTGAGCCTAGCCTTTAACGGCTGAGCCTTCTCTCCAGCCCTCACTTTCTCTCTTTTCAGTTGCAGTGTGATCAGATTTATATTAAGGTCTTTATCCCCTTTGGACTTGAGCATGGTGATAGATATGGATCTATTTGCATCCTTACATGTTGATATCAGGTTATGCCATAACCATTTGTTGCAGATGCTTTCTTTTTTCATTGTATAATTTTAGCTTATTTGTCAAAAATCAGGTGTTCATAGGTGTGAGGATTAATATCTGGGTCTTTGATTCAATTCTGTCATTCAATCTGTCTGTGTTTTTGCCCATCATCTCTTCCTCAAACCTCCAAAATGAACTGTTTGCTTAATTAAAACATATGTTCCCAGGTGTCTCAAATATCTCAGTGTACCATTTTGATACTGTCCCGAGCAGTGTGTAGTCCAAACCTGGTGTTTAGATGGTGAAACAATTACATAGTGCAGTTGAAATCTTCCTTGTGTGACTCACACTTCTTTTGGAGACTTCAGAGTCACTGTAATGCATGCTCATATTTCATTGCAAAAAAACTTAATCATTTTAATTGTCATATGCAGCAGATCTGTAAGAGGTTAAAGATGAGTATTTGTTATGTATGCGTAGATATCAGAGAGAGACTCAAACCCAAAATTAAATACAGGAAGCTAGATGAAACCTTTCCCTAGAAATAGTTATTTCCCTGTATGATCACTAATATTATGGCTAAAGAGATATTTGTTGTTAATTTCTCCCAAGAAATTACTGTAAGCTCTTTGCCAATGTTCACTTCCTGTCCATAATGATTCAATTTCAACATTAGTAAAACATGCTAAATTTTTTTTATTGAGAAAAGGAGGAAAAAAAAACAAGTTTCCACCTCCTCCCAGCCTCCCATTTCCCTCCCCCTCCTCCCACCCTTTTCCCCCTCCCCCCACTCCTTTCCCCCTCCCTCTCCAGTCCAAAGAGCAGTCAGAGTTTTCTGCCCTGTGGTAAGTCCTAGGTCCTCCCCCCTCCGTCCATATCCAGGAAGGTGAACATCCAAACCGGCTATGCTCCCACAAAGCCAGCACATTTAGCAGGATCAAAACCCCGTGCCATTGTCCTTTGCGTCTCATCAGCCCTCATTGTTCGCCATGTTCAGAGAGTCCAGTTTTATCCCATGCTTTTTCAGTCACAGTCCAGCTGGCCTTGGTGAGCTCCCAATAGATCAGCTCCACTGTCTCAGTGGGTGGGTGCACCCCTTGTGGTCCCAACTTCTTTGCTCATGTTCTCCCTCCTTCTGCTCCTCATTGGGACCTTGGGAGCTCAGTCCAGTGCTCCAGTGCAATAATGACGAATATCTTGCATATCATCATAGAATCTTCATCTGGTGATGGATGGAGATAGAGACAGAGACCCACACTGGAGCACTGGACTAAACATGCTAAAATTTAACCTTGGTAAATTCTTGCTAATAGACGAAGTTTCAGTTTTCTTTTTAAAAACAGCTCAGTTTCTTTTTCCACATAACTTTTTAGTCTTTCAGTATGTTTATATGTTTAAAATATCGATTATAAGATAATATCTTTCCTCTGCAGTAAAATACCTATAGGGAATGCATAGAGCATAAAATGTCTAGAATGACGGCCAGGAGGTGGTGGCTCAAGCCTTTAATCCCAGCACTTGGGAGGCAGAGGCAGGTGGAGGTCAAGGCCAGTCTGGACTAGAAGAGGTAGTTCCAGGACACATTCCAAAGCTACATAGAAACCTGTATCAAAAAAAAAAGTCTTGAATGTAACCAAACTCCAGATCCAAACAATCCATAAGTACCTTTTATAATTTTATTTCTACTAAACCATTTTTTCTGCTTTAGATGATAATTCTCTTTGACTTGTCCCCTTTTATGGTTTGGTTCTAATTACTATTTTCAATTTTTTACTCCAATAATGGGATATAGATGGTCAATGTCTTGCAACAATTTCTGAAATTTATTAAGATTCCACATATAACCTCTCCTAATTTTTAACTTTTGGGCTCAAATTTTTATAACACTATTTTATATGCTGAATAATTAATACAATCACCTTTTTGTATATTTTCAGAAGTAATTCCCAAGGAGACAAAGTTTGCTTTACTTCACCAACCATTTTCTCTAAAGTATTTACATTTGAATCAGCTAATGACATTCCATATAATGTTGAAAACATACCTAACTTGAGTATAATTTCCATTGTAATAAATAACAAAGTACTAACATCCAGTACTTTATATCCTAATTGGTTTATAATAATAACTTTCAAGGACTAGAAATTTTCATTACATGTTTAAGTGAGTTAAATTAGATAAAATGGTTTGAGTAAGAATATAAAAATCATAGACAGTATGTTTTGATAAAAATGTCAAGTTTATATCAAAAGGGAGCATCCATATCTATATCAATATAAAATATATAAATAAGTAGTTGCCTTTTTAAATTAATTTTAATGATCTATACTTTTACATCATACACATATATGCCCCTTTATTTTTTTTTTTTAGATTCAGTAATGTACACTTTTATCCTATCATTTCATTGGGTGCCTTTTGTAAGTGGATGTATATTTATGAATATATAGAGCTGGTTTTGGAGAAAGACACTGGCTCTGTCCCTCTATAAATCCAAGCATGTCATTAAAATAAAAATTCAGAGTTTCTCTCTCAATGTCAGGATCATGGGACAGAAAGAAGAATTTAGAAAAATTTTCACTTTTCTACATTTCTACTTTCAAGTCTATTGTACATGTCATTGAATATATATGTCTGTATATGACTATAAATAATGTTTCAGTTTTCCACAATGCACAATGAATTTTCCTGCAGTAATTTCTGAAGTTTCAGGAAGAAGTTGGGGCCCCACAACAACAACTCAACCTGGTTGATACAATGGCATGATGATGATAGTGCTACTACCAGACGTGTTTCGCATACCAGCTGCTCAAGATGGTTCCAACTTGGTTAGCTGAAATGGTCCACTTTTTACAATGTTCTGGACAGACCTTATAAGAAGAAGATCAGAAAAACTTTACATAATACTCAGAGACTATTTGCAGTTATACCAGACAGTAATCTTGGAACTTAACCATCATTTTAGTTTCGCAGGATCCCATAGAAAGAACATCGCCCCCATGACAGCTGGAAGTAATTCTAAAAGACTACATCCCCTCTCCCAACAAAGTTTGTCCTAGGGTTAGGGACATCATTTAGGGGTTGATTATAATTGGTATAGGGTTGTGGGTTGGAAGGGAAATTTTATGGGCTCAGGGATTTCTTTGAAATAAAAGGGAAAATTGGATGGAATAAGATAGTGTGAATTTACATACAATAATAATAAGTAAGTAATAGAGTGAATTCTTGTGAGTTATAATTTATAGGCAATTGCCTTGATATAGATTTTTGTATGTTGATATAATGTTAAATATTGAATATTATATGCATTCATGCTTCTACCAATGCTTAAAACATTTTATATATTAATAAATATATTTATCAAATTGCAATGTACATTTCTTCCACTGATCAAGATACCTATTCATTGGTTACATTTTGAGCCCATTGTCCTCATTTGTTGTACAATTGTTTATTGTACAATATTCTAATATGAAGTCTTAGTCTTTAAGTTATATAGGTATTAGAATTATAGATCAATAGTCATCAATGTTTGTCTTACTTATAGTTAGAATAATCAGGTTTTTCACACACATGAAGAATAAATGTTGAATAGATAGGTAAATCAGCCACTTCAAACAGCTGTAAAATCTGGATTTTACATAACCTAGGGTACTGTTGAAGTGAGACACAATTACTACTGGTAGCATTGTCTATTTCCAGGGAATGTTAAGCACCGGAGACACTCAAAGCTTGTTTTCTTGTTGTCAAAACTAGCCTTTGGGCAAAGACATGCTCATGCCTCAACCTCTGACAAAATACATGGTATCCAAAAATGGATAAGCAGTTCTGTTAAATCTTGACTGGCATTCATCTCAGAAACAAATATACCTACCTCTGTTTGCTGAGCATTGTGGTAAAGGCAAAATACACCAATAAGCCCAGTTTGCCCATCTTTTTTTTCCTTTCTGTAGGCATTAATTTTCTCATGCATACAACATACTGTTGATCTTTTCTCTTTTTCTTTCCCCATGAATAGATACTGCTCATATAAGGAGGTATCCTATACAAATGACACAGAAATAACAGAATTGATTCTCCTTTTCAATTTCCTTCTAAAGTGACTGTCTATGTCATGGAACAAGAATGGGGAACACCAGAATCGTAAAACTATACTGTCAAAGAAGTATGCATTTCACTCTCATACTTACACTGTACTCATATATGGTATATTTTTGAAGGAAGTGACCTATGATGATGTGCACATCAACTTCACTAAGGAAGAGTGGGATTTACTGAATCCTTCCCAGAAGAATCTCTACAAAGATGTGATGCTGGAGACCTACTGGAACCTAACTACTATAGGTGAAAATGAATTTCTTTCATGTTTCAAAATATGGAGACAACTTTTCCTTGGTTTATAATTTTGTTCTGTAATTTGTTTTAGAGAAAGAATAATGGGGTGAATAACACAGTCACAGTTTTTAGGTGCACTTAAGATAATAAGCTAATTGTTGCACATTCTTAAATAATATAACTTCTATTCTGGTACTGTATTTTAGGATACTTTTGGGAAGACCTTAACACCAAAGAGCATTGTAAATGTTCTAGAAGACATGCAAGGTAATTTTCTTGGGCAAGTTCATAACAATTTCCCTTAAATAGTTTGTAATGTGTTCTGGAACTTTAAAACAAAAGCAAAAGTGTAAATAAGCACAGCTTTAAATATATTGATGGTTTTTAAGTTCTCACAAATCCATATACCTCAATTTCTTGTATATGAATTGCATCTGCAAAGCCTTCATTTAAGAAAAAGTCTAGGTAGCAATGCCTAAACAGATATCACCTTTTGATTCATAGCATCATGAGAGCTATGTTGTAGAACTGCTGCTTCATTTGCTTCTTGCTATTCATGACAGAAAATGTATACATATTTCAATGATGATGAGTATAACTGCAAAACTTTCTACTAATTCAATAGCCCATGGTAAGCCTTGTATCACTCATATACTTTTTGTGACTGTGCTAAGTTTAGTGAAATCAGATTAGTCAAGGGTCAAGGGGCAGTGATGTGGAAAAACCTTAATATCTATACCTCAAGTCTGAAAGTTGAACCTTGTGGATTCATTTTGGAAATCTTTTATACACTATTCTTTTTTCATATATATATATATATATGATTTTTCATATATATATATGATATGTCACTCTTGACACAAGTGTATGAGCATAGGAATATGGAATAGGAATATGGAAATATTTAGCTTACCTCTCCTTAAGAACAATTAAGAAGATAAACTGTAGTTCCCATGTAGAGTATACATGTTTAATTTGATCCACAAATACAAAGTTAATTTATTTTCTATCATCATGGTTAATACATAAATACAAACTCACATTACAACAAAAACAAACAAACAAACATGAGCTCTAGGTCTATGCAAATACTTCTGGGTGTCTTAGTTCACTTACCAAATGTATAATGATTCACAATATAGTAAAATTATGAATGGAGTAATGTTTGTAAATGTTGTAATAAGAGTGGCGGGCTACATTCCTGGCACCCGGCCACCCGCATGGCTAGCATTATCCGAAATAATTACACGGAAATTGTATTCTTTTAAACACTGTCTGGCCCATTAGTTCCAGCCTCTTATTTGCTAACTCATACATATTGATCTAACCCATTTCTAATATTCTGTGTAGCACCTTGGGCTGCTGGCTTACCAGGGAGGATCTTAACCTGTGTTTGTGTCTGATGCGAGAATCATGGCGACTCCCTGACTGGGCTTCTTTCTCTCAGCATTCTGTTTTCTTTACTCCACCCACCTAAGGGTTGGCCTATCAAATGGGCCTAGGCAGTTTCTTTATTAATTAACCAATGAAAGCAACAGATAAGATACAAGACCCACCTCCATCATTTCCCCTTTTTCTGTTTAAACAAAAAAGAAAGGCTTTAACTTTAACATAGTACAATTACATATAGCAAAACAGTTATCAAGCAAGAATTACAGTTACAATATTTATATCTATTTTATCTTTTATCATAACTAAGGAAAACTATAACTATTTATTTATTCTTCAACTCCATCAAGACTCCAGAGTGATATAATATTACCTAAGTAAACAAGAAATCCAAAACTCTAGAAATGACAGAGACATCTTGCTCCCTGTACAGTCACCCAAAGTTCTTTTGTATCGTTGGGGCATCCGTCTTCGGCCTTCAGACCCATAGTGTTCAGCAGACATTTCCATGAAGCAGGAAATTTCAAAGACAGTTCAGTCACTTTCTGCTGTGTCCTGCAGAATGTCTTGCAGACTCTTTCATGAATCAGGAACCCCGAAAGAACATCTTGCCTTTAGGCAAGTTCAGCTGTCCTTTCTCTGCAGGTTCTCTGTGTCCAGTTTATGCAACAGTCCAGGCAAGAGCAGTTTCTTGCCCAAATGGCTATCAAACTCCATAAGGAGCCTCTTCGATGCCCATCTTCCTCTTGAAGTAGCTTGATGCTGCCAGGAGCAGATGTGTCTCATTGTCATGAAAAGCCCTAAGGGATTAAAACATTTAAATGCCATATTCTTATTCTGCAGTCTTTAAAAGATATAAAGAATACCTATCTAACTGAAATATATCTCTATATATAACCTGAATATCTAACTAACATGACTAATATTTATGATTATCCATCAACAACCTGTATTTCCTAATTATACATTACATTTTAAAAATGAACTACACAATCACAATACCTTAATCAAGATACTGAAATACATATACGTATAACAAAATTGACCTTAAAATCCACACCAATGCAAATTATTCATACCTATATCATATCCCACTTTAAATGTAAAAGAACATTTATAAACAATATTTGGGAACATGGGCACAGTTTTTTTCTCTCCAAACTGCTTCCTGCTGAATGGGGGTGCTGTTATTCAGGTCTTTTATGGGATAACCTGTCTGCTAGGTTCATCTCAGTCGGCAGTTGAGTGAAGTAATTTTCTGAAGGTGTTCACAGCAACCTCTCAGGAGGGCATGATCATACCATATTGGGATAGACACAATCCACAGGGTCTCATCCTCTGTGAAAACAAAAGAAGAAACTCCATTCCAAAGCATCATATCCTTAAACCAAAATTCTGAAGTCATAATACCCTTATGAAATCCATTCTGGTTCAGCTTGGTAGCCCATGTAATAAAATGTCTCTCTGTACTTAGCTCCTGTACAGTCAAAAATTTTAAAGAAAGCACAATAATACAAAGAATCCAGACTCGCTGTGAATTTTCCATTTTTATGTGTCTTATTTTTACTCTATCAGTTTACTTTATTCTGTCTCTTTAAAGATTTTACCCTTTTTTTAAAGACATTAACTTTATTCTTTATATTCTTTTTCTTCTCTCTCCCAAGCCTACATACATTCATTCAACACTGTGACTCATTTAGTGGTCTTTTATGTCTGAATCTGTTTTATTGTGAATCTGTAATTTTTTTTACTATCCAGGAGCATTTCTTAAAATGTTAAGCAGTTCTTAAAAACTTAAGTTGCACCATGTACAGGTAATATGGTACCACCTGAGTCCTGCCTAGTCTAAACCTTAACCATGCTATTATTATGGTAATTACGGTAGTTCCTGCTGAGACCAGCATAGTTCAGCATGGTTGAGCTGAGCCTCTCCTGCCTCAGAGCCATTTGGTGCCCCTGAGCCACTCACAGTTCCAGGCACACAGCAGTCCACATCGCCATCAAGCGAGGTGTACCACTTTACTCCAAATGCTCCATTCAAAAGCTCTGTCTCCAGCAGGAGCCAGACAGAGATGGTGATGGCGGCACAGCCCAGAAAGCCGGCATTTTAAAACAGCCAGTTTTTTCCTGCTGCTGAGTCAGGAAAACTTCTTTGTGGCAAGCCACCCACAAAAAGCCAAAGCTGTATTAAACTCTCTCCCTTTTCTAAAGACCTCTCAGGTTTTTAAGTGGATGTAGTCCATCACGTTAGAGAGCCACTCTGTCATAATATGAGTGCGTGGGTGCCAGGAACGTAGCCCGACGCTCTTATTACAACAGGTAAAGCACTCAGTATATGCAGTTCTCTTCAAAAATGTAAAAAATACCCTAGAAAAATATAGGTAGTGTTATAGATGAAAAGATAAACCATGACACAATGGAATTTATCATCACAAAAATTTTTTCTAGATGTAAAATGACCCCCAATGAGAGAACAAAACATGATTTTAAACAAAGCTATAAAACCTTGATATTAGATTCCTTTTTACAATTTGAAAAAAATATGAAGTTAATTCATATAGGTATAAGGTTCAACTGCATTGAATGTGGTAAAGCTTTTACATGTGTAAATTTTGCTTGCAGGAATGAAAGAAATCAAACTGGAGAAAAGTTTTCAGTATATTCTCACTGTGGTAAAGTCTTGTCTTATAACACTCATCTTCTAAGGAATGAAAAAACACATAGCGGAGAAAAATGCTGTGAAATTAAGCAATGTGATGAAGTCTTTTCTTGTCACAATCATTGTGAAATGCATAAGAGAACACACAGTGGAGAGAAACCCTATGAATATGGTCAAGATAATAAAGACTTTCTGTATGTAACTCATCAAAGTCATAAACGAAAACATACTGGAGAGAAAACATATGAATGTAATCTGCATGGTAAGGTCTTTGCTGATCAGAGCCATCTTCAAAAGATTAAAAGAATATATACTAGAGAGACACCCTATGAATATAATCAGAGTGGTAAAGACATTACTCAATGTACTGTTTTTCAAACACATAAAAGAATACAAACTGGAGAAAAACCATATGAATATAATCAGTGTGGTAAGGCCTTTGCACGTCATATTCATCTTCAATTGCGTAGAAGAACACGTACTGGAGAGAAAACATTTGAATGTAATCGGTGTGGTAAGGCCTTTTCACACTACAGTAATCTTCAAAGCCATAAAAGAACACATACTGGAGAGAAACGCTATGAATGTAACCAGTGTGGTAAGGCCTTTGCACAACACAGTCACCTTCAAAGCCATAAAAGAACACATACTGGAGAGAAACCCTATGAATGTAATCAGTGTGGTAAGGCCTTTGCATGGCACAGTGATCTTCAAAGACATAAAAGAACACATACTGGAGAGAAACCTTATGATTGTAATCAGTGTGGTAAGGCCTTTACACGACATAATCATCTTCAAATGCATAAAAGAACACATACTGGAGAGAAACCCTATGATTGTGATCAGTGTGGTAAGGCCTTTGCATGTCTCAGTCATCTTCAAAGGCATAAAAGAACACATACTGGAGAGAAACCCTATGAATGTAATCAGTGTGGTAAGGCCTTTGCACAACACAGTAATCTTCAAGTGCATAAAAGAACACATACTGGAGAGAAACCCTATGATTGTAATCAGTGTGGTAAGGCCTTTTCTCAAAACAGTGTTCTTCAAACACATAAAAGAACACATACTGGAGAGAAACCCTATGAATGTAATCACTGTGATAAGGCCTTTGCATGTCACAGTGATCTTAAAAGGCATAAAAGAACACATACTGGAGAGAAACCTCATGAATGTAATCAGTGTGGTAAGGCCTTTGCACACCACAGTAATTTTCAAAGCCATAAAAGAACACATACTTGAGAGGAACCCTATGAATATACCCAGTGTGGTAAGGCCTTTGCCCTTCTCAGTCATCTTCAAAGGCATAAAAGAGCACATACTGGATAGAAACTCTATGAATGTAATCAGTGTGTTAAGGCCTTTGCTCAACATGGTGCTCTCAAATGTATAGAAGGACATATACTGGAGAGAAACCCTATGAATGATATCAGTGTGATAAGGCCTTTGCAGACCCCTGTACTCTTCAAAGGCTTAAAATGTAACATACTCTAGAGATACCTGTGAATGGAATGTGGTAAATTCTTTTTCACAATTATCTCCAAATACATAATATGAGCCCTTCTGTAGAGAAACCCTGAAGATAATTTGGATACTTTTCAAAAATATGAGAAAAAAATCATACTGTAGTGAAACTATAAATGAATTCAGTGTCATAATGTTTTGTGTTTTATATAAGAGTAAGACTTAGTGTGTAGTCATCTGAGAAAGCTTGTGCATATTATCATAATCTTTTGGACCTGATGAAAAAGCTGGGTGCTTCTTTTAAATTGTTCTTTTAGATGTCAAGCCACTTACAGTCAGTTAACAAAAATCAGTTATTGTGTAGAAAAAAGTTTGAAAATGTCAACAATTTGTTCATGCATCATTATAACTCTCTTTATTTTAGTTTGAACCAGCAAAGTAATGGATAAATCCTTTTCAGTTACAGAAAGGGTATTCCAACTTTGGTCTTCAAACCAGAGCCAAAGGAAAGAACTTTGTCTCTGAATTTAGAACTAGATAATGAAACAACATCTCCCTGAAAACAGCCAAAACATTAAAAGGCCCAGTGAAAGAAACACAACTTGGCTCTCAAACCAGAACCATAAAATCCCAAAAGTTTCAACAATGTTTTTAAGCTCAAAGGATATCATTAACTGAAATATGAGAGGCATCAAGAGTCAAATCACTCATACGCTTACTTGTAGGTTTTGTATAAAAGTATCCTTAGAAGTTGGGAATATAATTATAGTTATCAGAAGATTGGGAGTGGTCATCAGGAAGGTAGGTAGAAGGTGGTTACAAGGAATATTTTCTGAAAAGGAAAGATGGTTTGAAGTAATAAATGATGGAAACATCACTCTTAACAGTAGCCACAAATAATATAAAATATTATGGAATTACCAACTAAAAAAGTGAAAGGACTGTAGGAAAAGAACATTAAATCTTTGAAGAAGACACCAGAGAATGGGAAGATGTCCCTTGCCCTTGTTAGGTAGAAATCAACATAGCAATCTACAGGCTCACTACCATTCCCATGTGAATATCAGAAAAATTCTTCACAGATCTCAAAATAAAAACACCCAACTCCATATATAAAAGCCAAAAAAATGCGGGATAACCAAAACAATCCTACATAATAAATAATTTCTGCAGGCATCACATTCCCTGACTTCTTCAGATGAATACAGAGCTTCAGTACTGAAGAGAGCCTGGTGTTGGCACAAAAACAGATAGGAGGACTAATGGAACTGATGCTAGCTAAGACCCAGACATCACTCCACTCACCTACTACACCTGATTTTTGACAAAGCACCAAAAAATATAAAATGGAGAAAACATATTTAACAAATGGTGCTGGCATAACTGAATATCAATGTGGGGAAGAATGAAAGTAGATCCACATCTATCATCATGAACAAACCTCAAGTCCCAATGGATCAAAGACTACAACATAAAGACAAACACACTGAACTACATAAAACAGAATATTGGAATTACACTTGAACACATTGGTAAAGAGGACCACTTTCAAATTATAACCCCAGGCATCACAGACACTGAGAAAAATTATAAATGAGATTTCCTGAAGCAAAAGTTTCTGTAAAACTGTAGTATGGGAAAAGATATTCACCTAAACCACATTGGATAGAAGACTGATCTTTAGAACATACAAAGAACTTAAATAATTGATCATCAAATAAAAAATGGAGTACTCCAATAAAAATGGAGTACAGACCTAAAAAAAAATCTTTTAACATATGAATCTAAAATGACTGAGAGACACTTAAGGAAATTTCCAAACTCCTTAATCATTAGAGAAATGAAAATCTAAACAAATTTGAGATTCCCTCTTACATCTGTAACAATAGGCTTGATCAAAACACTGATGACAACTTAAGCTGGAGAGGATGTGGAGTTAAGGGAACACTCCTGCATTTTTGATGGGGTTACAAACTGAGTCACCTACTTCGGATATCAGTATGGTTATTCCGTAAATTAGAAAGTCACCTGCCGGGTTGTGAGGCATGGCCTTAATCCCTGCACATTGGGAGCCAGAGATAGATCTCTGTGACTTCAAGTCCAACCAGGTCTACAAGAGCTAGTTCCAGGACAGGCTCCAAAGCTCAAGAGAAACTGTGTCTTAGAAAACCAAAAATTACAAAAAAATGAAAGAAAATTAGGAAACAACTTATCATAAAACCCAGTCATGCCCTTTGTATATGTACTCAATGGATGCTTAATCATACCACAAGGACAAATGCTCAACTGTGTTCACAGCAATATTGTCAGAGCCAGAACCTGAAAACAACCCCTCCTCAGAAGAATGGAAAAAGAAATTGTGGTATACTTACACAGTAGAGTACCACAGAGTGGATAAAAACAATTACATCTTGAAATTTATGTGCAAATTTATGGACCTAGAAAACATCATAAAAGAGTGAGTTAACCCAGAACCAGAAAGAAAAAATATATGTACTCACTCCTAAGTGGCTTTTCAATATAAAACAGGGGACAGTCAGCCTACAATTCACAATGCCCAGAACATATACAACAAAGAGGAAACAAACAGAGACATACATAAATCTATTCTATATAGGACATAGAGAAAGACAAGATCTTAGTAAATTTGGAACATGTGAATCATGGGACAATGGGATGGGGGAGGAAGGGTGAATAGTGGATAAATATAGTTGAATAAAAAACAATTAAAAAATCCTTGATTCACAGCCGTTTGTGGGTGAATTAAACAAAGTGATAGTATAAAATGAATAGCTGAAATATGGAACTTTTCTTAGTTTTGTAGCTGAATGAAATACTTCCTCTTGCTAAGGCAGACTGATTTATGATATTTAATTAAAATCAATCCACACATTTTCCAAAAGAAAATTAAAGATTTATACCATATCTCCCAATCTTCCCAAACCAATAATCACACATGAAACATTTGAGACGGAAGTGCTTGATTTTACCTAATGTAGCTGCATTCATTCTAAGTTCATCATGTAACACTGAGTTCATGTTTTAATGATGAATTTTGAAGGCTGTACAAGTCAGAGTGACAGACCCTGAACTATGTGAGTACTAATTGAATCTTTGACTTCTGAAAACACCAAGTTAGAGTGTAAGAATACCTTGGGCTTTTATAGGTCAGATGAGCACCTACAGAGCAATGGATCTCATATACAATATAGCTAGCATCCAGAATCAAGAACTGGATTCAAGAGAGCAACTATACCCTTTATAGATTCATTCATACTGTAAGAGACCATGCCCAAGTGCATTGATATTTTAAAGCTGTTGACTGAAGGAGCTCTCACAGCACCTACCCATTTAACTTAATACGAAATTCCAAACCCTATACAAAACTCTGTACACAAGATGTCAAAATTAAAGTTAGAATTACAATAAGCATAATCAATATTAAGGAAGGAATACATCCTAATGGTTTGATAAGCATTTTATCCTAAGGAGTCCATGTTGTAGTAGAAATGGCTTAACTAGATCATAAGAGGATGGTAAGTATGATTATCTCATCTTCAACCCCATCAAAGACCTGAGAAGAGCAATAATATTACTTGAGTAGGCAGGTAGTGCAGTCTAGCAGCTTCCAAAAAGTGTAGTAGTTGACAGACAACTGACTGACCAATCAACCAAAGTCTCATCACAGTGTTGAAGAATAAGACTTCATATCAGAATATAAAACAATCTTTAAAGAACTATGCAGTAAAGCAGGACAATGACTTCAAAATGTAAACAATGTATAAAAATCTTGATCAGAGGTAGAGTAATATAATGCAATATGATAAATATATCATAAAATTGCATCAATAAAAATATGTTTTAAACAGGTAGAATCATACATTTATACAATCTGACATAATAACCTTATATAGTTGTTACAAATATTCTAAACAAAAATCAAAACAGTCTATATAATAAATATAATTCGAATTTGTGTCAGTATACAAAAGTATACCAATGTAAATCCATAAAAAATATTTCACAAGTATTCCTTCTATTACAAACTTATTAGTAGGAGTAAGTAATCTACCTATTATCCAATTCCATTTTCGCTCATTTTGAGATCTCTGGGTGTACATCATTTCACCCAATCCTATGACCCACCCAGCAGGTCCTAAGTTACTCCAGGGTCTTGAAGAGGCACTATCTGAAAGACTTGGGAGGAAAGAGAAACGGATGCCAAGCAGTATTTTGTCAAGGAATCCGTTTATTGAAGCAAGTTTCATGCCTTAAATACTCCTCAGAAAGGGACTCGGGCAGGGGGAACTCAGGAAAGGGGGAAGGGAAGGAGGGGCTTGGTAGCTAGGCAACTAAGTGGGGCAGTTTGAGAGCTAAGCAGGGCAGTTGCAAGGTCAGTGGCTAGAACACCTGCTGTTAGTGATAGCAGCAAGCCCTGAAGACACTTTGTGGTACTTTCCAGAGCTTGAGTCTCCACGATCAGCACATAATGATTTGGCTAACTTTAAGTTTTCTGTCTCAAGATTTTTACTTCAATGCCCTGTGAGAAAGGAGAAGCCTGAAATGGCTCCTGACAATCCTATATTAGTAATAATCAACTCGTAAATGTTGTTCCTGACTGTGAC